CTGATGACACTTTCTATTTTCATGTTGAAAATCATTTTACTTTATCACAAGTTACCTGTACAGGTTTACTAAGTAATATAGAAAAATAACTTTTATTGCTTCTGATTAATTAGCTCCAGCAAATTAGTTTTTGCACCTTTCCATGGACAAGTATGTCTACTGAAGCTGACAATAATGTGCCAAATTCTTAAACACAGGAACTAACGGGCACACAAGGGATTGGATATGAAGTGTCAAAATTAACCTCTTGACACCACACCATCACACAGACAAACTGTTGATGTGGAAGAGATACCAGCTGCCAGCAGCCAATCTGAAAGTCAAGAGAGCATTCTTAACAGGCTTTACTCATCTGTTCATGTATATTAGCAATTGGTATCTCAAGAATCTTATAATCTTAATAGGAAGAGCTATCTTTTTAATACCAGTGTCTCCTATTGATCTTCCCATCCTCATTACATATTTTATAGCACTATTAGGCAATAGCTGTAGGATACACCTTCCTTTGACCTCTACAAATGTGCCATTAGCATTGATATAGAAAACATGATTGAACCTCTTAATACCTGCTTTCATCAAATTATGTTGTTTGTTTCTGCAAGCTGTTTTACCTTTCTGACAGCACAAACTACAAACAAATCACATTAATTCACCTGATATGTATAATCAGGATTAAAGACAATGCTCAGACAGGTGTGTTAAAATCTGATGCACAAGTCACATCATCAAAACATGCAGACAAATGCCCCTTCTCCCTGTCAAAAGATTGGCAACACAACTCTGTCAACTCAACAACACCCACAAAAACACCCTCAACTCTTCCATGATCCTAATACTGAAGTCAGAACCACTACCCAATAGTGGTAACAACCAGCATTTTCACAGGAATTCATTTAATCTGTTCCAATAGTGAGACCAAAATAATTATATTTTAGGAGAGCTTCTAAGCTCAAACCACTTATAACAGCTGGAAGCATTAGTGGATAACAAGAATTTTTGTAATTCAAATGAACTTTTTAGGTGCTTTCATTTTTTTTAGCAGTGTCTCACCTGATGTGTGATTCTCTATCAGTGGAGCATGTTAGTTCCAAAATTACAGACTGGAAACCTGTTTTTGAATGATACACATTACACATGATACACATCACCCCTTGCAAAGATGCAGTCTCCTTGGTAACCTGTTAAACTTTTCATTCAACCACTGAATGAGAGCCTTGTGGTGCATTCTGGAGGTAGCGTTCCAGACTATAAAGATCATTTTCATGAATTATAAAACATCCAGGTAAAGGCTGCTATACGTGTTCTGGGATTGTAGATCAACCCCCCTCATCAGGCTCAGTGATAATGCACTCAGATCAGTAAATGTCGCTTCTCTCACGCAGAATGCACATCCAATTTAAATCTTCTAAATTACAGGTTAACTTTGCACCTCTGACTTCTCATATTTCTTTATATTATTTGCATCTAAACTGTCAAAACAGACACTGAAGATAAAAAGTAGTCATTGTTAATTAAATGTAAATGTTTTTTTTTAAATCAACCTACATCTTGTACCACTATAATGAAGTAGCAGATCATAATATTTACATTTAATTAAAAAAAATACATATCATAAATAACCAGATTATTAAAGAAGTACAGTATGCTTTGAGTAACCAGGTAAAAACAACGGAATTATATGGAATTAATTTGAAAAGTCTTTCATATTACATATTTCAATACAATTGGGGACCAATGATCAATGGTCAATCTTTGATGACTGAATGGATATGTTTTACCATTGATGTTGTGAAGTTTATAGGTATGCAACTATACAACAACACTGGGAACAAGGTTCTGTGGGTATTTGTATGATGCTTCTCTTCCCAGGAAACTGAGGAGTTCAGTTTACATAACTGTATAGTACCTTCTAATACAATCTAAAAGACATACTTTCTAAGGAAAATGTAAAATTCATGCATTCAATAATTTCATAAAAAATACATGATAATATGCACTTTATTGAAATCCAAAATGTACCTTTTGTCTTAAACCTTTCTAGTGAGCACTGAATGTTTCATGAGCACACAAGAAAAGCTTTAAAGATCACAAGCAATCAGCTTTTGTGGGTTGCTCTTGAACTAATATTAGTTTCCTTAAGGATGAATTGTTTGTATCTGAAGCAGAAAAATCAATCTTTTCATGTAACTGTTTTTTTCTAATATTGGTCATCTAAGACAACTACATCTTTAAAGCACTTTGAGAATCTACCTTTAAAGGCACTATATAAAATAAAGTTTATTATGGGTATAATTATAATAATACTCAAGATAATATAATATCAAGTTATTATAATAAATTATTATGTACAATTTAATACTAATCAAATATAGTTCAGGTAGGTAGCTGCGTCAGCATGTGTAGGCTACAAAGGAACAAGTAATAGGTTTTTTCTATGGTGAAAAGAAACACAACGTTTCTGCTGTGGAGCCTTCTTCGGGTAATACATTTGTTAGTTTTATATTAATTCCAGAATGTGTTAAAAATGTGGAGTGAGTTATGGTATCATTATACAAAACAAAAATATGACTAAGCAGTAGACAGGATTTTCTTAACTGTATTTACAGTATCTTCTGTAAATACTATACAATTTCCAGCATTACAAGAAGCAAAAGTTCGGAAAACAGTTTCTCCATTCATCTAAACCTGTCATGAGGTAATCACTAGCACTCTGAGCAAAAATTGTAAATGGTAACCATATGTTGCTATTGAATAGCATGCAAGTCCCACTGAACAATCAAATTTCCTTCTGAGGAAGCTAATTACATGCTGAAAGCATTACCTACAGGTATACATATTTTTTCTGATAACTTTTGGGCTCACTCCAGGGTTTTAATCCTCGCCCTGTTCGTTATCCAAATAATATGCACTATCACTCAGAATTTTAGCTGTAAAAATTCTGAAGAGACATGCTAGACACTGGCTGCCAGGGTGTTACTAAACACGAATCTCTGACCCTTTTCTCTCTAGAGTTTGTCAACAACATAATAAAATGCAGCTGAGTGTTAATTTTTTTTTCTTTCATTCATATCCACATGGAGCTTTCAATTTCAGAGAAATATTTAAGTGAGATACACGGAGAAAACATTGCAAGGGTGATTCTAATCTAAAACAACTAAAAACATTTTCTCCGGTTCTCATTTTTCTCTCAATGTGTTTAAATAAGTAACAGGTCAAAAGTGGAAGACATAGCAGGAGAGAATCATGAGAGGGCAGAAAAACACAAATGTAAAAAGTGCAATTTTTAATTACGAGGGTGATTCAGAAGTACACCATAGAGAAATCTGTACAAAATTTAGGCACAACAGACAAGCGCTACAAATATATATTGACATGTAGATTTGAAGAACCTGATTTAACCACTTTTGCTCTTTAAGAACAGCATAGTGATTTGAACATGGCACGATTTTATACATCATGGTGCATGCAATAAGAAAAGTGCACACTGGGTTGACAGAAATAGAGGGTCAGATCCCATTTTCATGCTTAGAAAACATACAGCATTCTTTAAACTACATCGCATCGGGCTCAGTAGCCACCCCGTATAGGGTCAAGACATTTCAGCAGAAAAGATCATTCAAGTAATGTGGTAGATTGCAGAAATCACAAGTTTTGCTGACAGGTAGCTCCTTCATTGCCACAGAAAACAAACTAAAGCACATTTGCTTGTTGATCATTTGGTTTCCTTTGATGTAGACATTTAAAATGCAGTTGGAAATGCACAAGAAATCAAGAATAGGAATGACAGGATTTGTACATATATGTGATATATTCTGAAGCACCATTTTGCCGCGGAAGCTTATTTTTTGTGAACTACTTTCTATTAAGTGACAACACACTGCAAACAAGATAAATAATTCTATTTCATGCTCTAAGAAGCAAACAGTCCAGTGTCCAACCCCATGCACCCATTAGCTAATGAAAGTTCCAGAAACAAAACATACACCAAGAAAAAGATCTGTCGGCACCAGAGAAAGACCAAGGATTTCCTTATCAGATGGAAGAAAGTCCCAACTATTCCATGGGGGCATAGTGTACCTTGTGGAGAATCAGCTAGATGGAGTAAAATTCTTTTGTGTGTGGTTAAGTACAGTACATCATATTAATAAATCTGTAAAAGATCACTTGATGATCTGGGTTTTTAGAGGCATACTTCATGCTTTGCTCCAAACCTTACCATGAAATACTCAATACTCTAATCAAGTGAGAGTTCCCTTGGTTAAAATATTCATAATTTGGAGTGGTTTCCTTAATAAGAAGGAATAAAAGAATCTAAACACCATGAATTACTTCTATACAGAATATCAAATAGCAGTCAGAAATACAGTAAGTATTTTGCCCCAGGGAACTTAATGGGATCACGTTGCAACTTGTACCTGCACATAAAGGAAAAAGGAAGATCCTGAAATGTTCTGAACATCTATACAAACTTTGTGAGACATCAATGACCATTGCTGGGAATCAAACTGGTGATTTCTGGTTAAAGAGAAGCATTATGGAAGAGGGGGATTGTAGAAACAATTTTGATTGCAATTTGATGTTTATCTGCAAAACTAGATTGTAACTAAAAATGAGATAAAAGATCTGAATCCTAAATTGCACTATCACATAGATCATCCGGGGATAAGCAGGTACTATAACTTTTAAGGAGAAACTTCATTTGACTTGAGTTCATGCCATGGATCCATGAAAGAGGGATCTCGGGATTATGGCATACAGTGACCACATGAGGAATGGTTGGCCGAAATAAGATTTCAAAATGTTGTAGAAACAGACCACCATTAGAATTTGACAGAAACATAAAAAGCTTTGGGCCAGGCCATGTGACCTGGTCATAATTTTAGCAATTAATGAATTAATTCTGTCACAATACCCTTTATGACGAGGTAAATGGATCATCAAGCAGACAAAAGTAATCTGAAAAAGTATATTCATCTTAATAATTGACATATGTGCTTGAATTGAATAAGGGTATTGCATCCATTTAAGTTGATCCTTTTTGACATTTTTGTAAATGGATAGAAAATTGCTCTCCACGGTCTTCGTTAGAGGAGGATAAATGTCACCTACAAGATATTTAAGGCGTTCAACTTTCATGAAGGAAGTTTACAGTGCTGTAAGTATAAAGATGTGTATTTCTGTTCTATAATAAATAATAATAGCAATAAGATAACGATAATGTTCTAGCCCAAGAAGTTCTGTCAGATTGGTGAAAATAGTTCTAGTAGATCATATTTTATCTATTTAAGAAGCACATTACCATAAACAGATAATTATACAATCAACTCACCTGTACAACCTGGGAACTAAAACACATCTAGAATAGTTCGTTCAACAGCTACATAACAAACTATTAATACTAAAAGCTACAAGCTAATTAAATCTTTATCTATATCTGTTTGCTGATAAAAGCATAGCTGCTCTGCAAATGGTACTGGACTCTCAGTAAAGAAGTAGTTTACACATGCTTTTTTGAACTGGTTTTAAAATAAATAAAATACTCTTTACAAGCACTTATTGTGTCATTAGCTACAACATTAGTTTAAAATTCAATTAACCTGACTACTATCACCAGACTGATGAAACTATAGAAAGCAAAATGCAAGCAAGCATTTGAAACCAGAATTTTAATGTAATCACAGAGAAAATTTGAGGTAAAACATTTTTATATTAGATTATTTTATTTTTGTTATTTATGCTCATTTACAACAATGTGCCAATTTATGTAAGAAATGTAAGAAAGATCTGAAAACCAGAACCAAAACTTATTTTTGATTGTGGCTATTCATGTTTTAGGTTGAAAAGATCTTCTCTTCCTGTTTTCAAGCAAGAAAAGCTCTATTAACTATATTAAATCAAAAAGGCAAAAGCAGTCATATTTGAACACAAAAACTGGTTATCAATACAATTTGTAGAAAACACCTTATTAAGTATCCCAGAGGAGCCTGAACATTTATTCTTAATTTACTGCTTAACTGTTACATTACAAGCTTATAATCTTGTAAATTCCAAGCTTGCACGTCTTTTAGTAGACTAGTTTTTCTCCTACGTATTGATTTAATATTGCTTTTTTGGATAGCACATTTTTAACATACCTTTTATCTAATTCAACTTCGATATATTATATCCGTACCATTATATTAGTTTGTGTAATGATTTTAGCATATTTTAGCATTAAATAATATGAGCCTAATTTGAAAAGATTTTTACACTTTAAATTAAACCACATTTGTTAAAAGCATTCACATACAATATTATTTTACTCACTGTAGATTTACACAGAATTAATATATATGAAATACTTTTCATGTTTATGCATTATTTTAGAACTTTGCCATCAGTTCTCTCGCATATATTGTGGTTATGTTTAGAAAGTTTTTCTATTTCTCCAGGCTTGTAAACCTGTGCACACAGTTCAATCACGAAACGATATGAATTGTTATGCTTGGATGACTTGGAGTGTCTTCACATTTCTTCTCATAAATTTTGTTATTCATGAAGTTATCTCCATTTCTGTTGGGAGCTCTACATGTCAACTGCAACATTTATGATATTCGTAAAAGATTGGACTTATAAACATAAAAACATTACCCAAAGTTACAATTCAATACTACAACCTAGAAAGATTCTTTCCGCTAATTAATTTCATTTGATTAAGAAAACTGAACTGAATATGGTAAGTAGGTCCTGTTGTACCGTAAATGGTGTGTTGACAACAATATTACTTTTTAGTCTGTCTCTCACAGGGGATATCCTTAAATCTAATTCTAATGGCAATATTCCAGAGATAAGTCTGTAATGACAAAAAATGACAAACTGATTTGAAATAGAACCACAGAGGTTCTTCAAGGATCAATATTATACCCTGTAATAGTATGGGACAATAATATTAATCTTCTGGTTTAGCTTAATCAACTACTTAAAAAATCCAAGATAAAAGACAGGAAGCAGAAGCAAGTAACACATGCACACAAAGAAGAAGAACAAGAAGTACAAATAGAAAGGAGATGAAGTACTGTATGCCAGGCAAGAGGAACTCAAATCAACCTTAAAGACTAGATTCTAAAAGTCTAAGTATTGTTTACGAGAGTTTGCTGTCTCATATTAGGAAACTCTAATTTCCTTTATAAAGAATCCCAAAGTTTAAAACAATCTTCCATGGTTAGTGGATGCATTTTAACTAGTTAAAAATAGAATAGGGAAACATTCACTTTGGAGTATTGAGCTTTGGGCTGTATTCTGTTTTATTTAGGATGTAGGTTTATGTCTTTGTTGGCCTGTTAGGCATGGCATAGGATATCTGAGTACTGGGTTAGCAGTCTGGATTTTCTGTTTGTCAGGACATGGGTATATTCTTGGCACATCTTTTATGGGTGTTATATATATAGTTTAATTATTGATCTTACTTAGTATTTTCTATTTTTCTTTCAAATGTATTTAATATCTGTAACAGTGCGGTGCAGTGGCTCTGTGGCTAAGGATCTGGGCCTGTGGCTTGAAGGTTGTTGGTTCAAATCCTGTGGCTGGCAGAGGAATCCTATTCCACTGGGACCCTGATCAAGGCCCTTAACCCCAACTGCTCCAGGGGTGCTGTATAAATGGCTGACCCTGTGCTCTGACCCAAGCTTCTCTCCCTGTCTGTGTGTCTCATGGAGACCAAGTTGGGGTATGTGAAAAGACAAATTCCTAATACAAAGTGATCTTATTTTATCTAACAATATTATTATCTTATACAGGGATATAACAATTTGAGACTTTTTTCTATTAAACTACTTGACACTCAAATCTTTATAAAATGTTCCTCTCTGTTAGAATGCATGGTAATGCAAAATGTGACACATACTAATCAATTCAGGAATTACTATATCATTATATCATGTAATAATCCTCCATGGGCTTTCAGCACTTACTGAACTTAGAAAACTGAGTCAACCACATTTTGAAATAAGGGCTGTTTTAATTTCTTCCACTCAGCAGTTTCAAGTCTTAAAGCAATGCAAGCAATTTCTTTATACAACAACATAAACACCTGTCTAGATTTGTTCATATTTTTCAGTCAATTGTAAATCTGTGCTTTTAGCGACTTCTAGTAAAAAATGAATTATTTGGTGTTTTTAGACTTTATGGTATGGGATGCTGTCTTCTTGAAAATTACTGAAAAATTAATATATTTATCCATGTAATTTATGGCCCAACCAGACAATTCATTTCTAGAATTAAACTTTTATTTTTTTGGTGTTGTATGTATACAGACAATGTACAAAGAACAGCTGTGCCTTTTAGTGGTGAGGAGTCTGGACCAGCGGGCATAAGGCTAGATGGGATTTTGTGCCCTAAATCAATGTTCTTTGCTCAGATCAGTCCAGTGAAATCTTCAGACATCAATTTTCTAACTTCTTCTTCCAATTTTTGGGTCACGGAGGAGCTGCAACCTATCTTGACAAGCAGTGTGCGCAAGGCAATGTACACCCTGGTTGGGATGCCAGTCCATCATGGGACAGACACAAAGACACAAACATATACACTCACACCAGGGCCAATTTTCCCAAAAGGCAAATAACCTAGCAGCATATCTTTCGACTCTGGAAAGAAACCAGAAGACCTGAAGGAAATCTACATGAATACAAGTGTAACATACAAAACCCACACAGGTAGTAAGCCAGCTCTGTGATGTGATGGAACCAAGGGCCCTGTTTACTTGTTTGTTTACTCCTACATTGTCTACTGTTTGTTTGTATATTGTCTTGATGCACCGTCTGCACTTTGTGTTTTACACTTTTTTGTCACAATCGAGAGACTTTCTGTGAGTAAGAATTCCATTGCACCAGGACATGTGCTGGTTACATATGGCAATAAAGTTCAGGTTCAAGTTCAAGTTCAGTGCTGTGAGGCAGCAATGCTAACTACTTTGCCACCATCCAGTGAAATGTCCTGCTCTACAAATGGGCATCCCCTTTCTCATTATAAATCAGAATTTATTCTCAAATGACTTTTCAAATTCCCTGTTCTCTTTTTTCATGCAACAAGCTTTTGTTTTATTTGCATGACCTTCTATGGTTAGTACAACATACAGTATATCTAGTTTTCTGCTGGATTACTTAAGATCACAATACCCAACATTTCAGAAATTCTTGGGATTCATTTTTCCAATTGTACTACAAGTGACAATTACTGGTTATGTAAGGGAGGCTGTCTAGTCGCTAGACGATGAAATTAGGTAATTTGGTGGAAGGGTGAATTAATTGTCTGTGGTTAAAATATTATCAGGCTCCATTTTACTCAAGAATAAGATTATAGGGTAATGGTCCCTGATTATGAGCCGATAATTGTTCATGATTATTACTTTATTATCATCTAATTTGCTAATTCTAATGTTCCACTGACACTAGTATTGATAGGATGAAATGCGTGGATCTTAGAATTTGAATAGGGGCCCTATTCTGACTGCATTGAATTATTTGTTCTCCTATAATCACTGCAATCACTGTATTAACACTGCCAGAAAACATACAGTATGTACCTATGCACATTTTATTCAGCAGAAAAGGACGATAATCCCTATTAATTTTTACATATCTCTCAATTATTTTTAAAATGAAAATCTAGAACATTTCTGACCTAAACATCATTCTGTAAATGCACTCGCTAAATATCTCCATAAAACTGGAATAAATTATTGGGAGAGAACACTGATTTATCTCTCCGACATGTAAATGCTATTCTTAGATTGAATGACACGTTCGATATGTAGATCTCTTCATTGTATTTGTAATTCCTTGATTACCAACTTCATTCCTAGCAATTTTTCTGATGGAAGTATTTCATTGCACCAGTGAGTGGTACAATAGATCACATGCCAAAACAACTCCCTTAGCAACTAAGGAGTGACTCACCAGGATGCAAGGACACCCACCAATCAACCCTTTTATCCCAAACATATGGAATCAGGTTAATAAGACCTTCTAAAATAAAATTAAGACATGCAGTCACACCTAAACAAGCACAATCGGGTACATAACTGCTAATCAAAATAATAACATAAGGATAATTATTTTTTACTTTTTGTGGGGGGAGGTCAAGTATAAATTGAACACATCATGAATTAAAGCTTCTGTAATTGTACATACTGTAAATTGTTTCACCTAGACCAATTATTGAATTGCTTTATATATGAGACTGTTGGTTTCTGTGCAGTCACGCATTTAATCTCTGGGTAAGTGTGATCCAGGCTGAAAAATGTAATCATATCTCCTTTGTAATCAATAGAAATGATAGTTTAGTGAAGGATAATCATAATTCTAGGAAATGCTGACTGACAGGAAACTATAATACAGTAGCATGTAAAACAATATATGGTGCAGTGAATATACATACAGTATGCAGGAAACATGATGTCACATTTTGTGAATGTCACAAATCTAATCACAGCAAACTTGACAAATAAACACTGTAAGAGTCACTAATTTCTAATTTTGGTCACCCAGTAATATCACACATCAGGCTGCACACAGTACTGCAATACTGTGTTGAAAGTACGGCAAATCCTGACCAAATGCAAGGAAAAAGTACAAATTCTACACAGAATATGAATATTAATTTCACAATAGTCCAATCACAACTATTACAGTGGACAGAGATATCACATCTATGACAGGTCCTACTCCTGCAATGCTGTGATTGAATAAAGAGTTAATAACATTCGGAACCATAAATAATTGCAATTGTCACTCTACACTCCCACACTAACCTATTATATTATTGCTTACATATATTAAGAAAACATGAACGAAAAAACATTGAGATTTTCAATTGTTCACTTAACTTTCCTGGGTGCTTTTTATGAGATAAAAAGCACATTTTTCACAGTGGTAGCAGTGAGCTGTTATGTAGTAAAATCTGAAAGCCAGAAGAGATCTTAGATAGAGCATCTGCCGTCATATCTCCAGTGCTCGAGTCACTTGAACCTGGCAGAGTACAGTCTGTAGTGTTTGCTTTCTGCAGGGATTATAATTCTTGTTTGTATGAAACCCACACCCTCTGAGAAATACAAGGGAAGCTTTGGATAACTTCAGAAACCTACCAACTGATCCTAAAAACAAGTTATATGGGAGACTTGGATCTTTAGGTGGAAAAAAACACGTGGATATTTAGAGGTGACTGAATTCTCAGGAAAAGTAAATACTGTGCACCCACTATGACCACTATAAAGGACCATTGTTATCTTCACAAGGTATGTTTTGTTTAATTCTTCACAAAGTGTAATTAATATTTATTCACTATCCTGGTATTGTTAAACTAAAAAAAAAAGCCTGCCAGCCTTGTGGTTTATCTACTTCTTAGTGTTTGAACAAAAATTAACTCAGCTATTTTTAGGCTTCTTATCCATCAAGCACAAAGGTTTACAGAACTGCTCATTTCTGAATGTTACTTTATATTAGTATTTTTCAGCTGACAACAGTAGAAAGGTGTTACATTACTCAGTACACTTTACTCAAACTAAACTAAAAATATGTTAACATAATTGGATACATTCTCACATGTAGAAAAAATGTTACTTCCTTAGAAGATGTTTAAAACCTGTTACCCCCACTGAGCATCACTGAAGACTAGAATAGATTACAACAAGATCAGAATCATAATAAGACAAATCCAGCCTCCCATATATGGTTTGAATTCTCAGTAAAAGAGAAAGACATTTACTGACAGCATGTAACCATCCCTACTTCACACTCCACTTGCAAATGTACCAGGGAAATATGAGAAATAAACAAGGAAACAAATTTGTTCCGTTTTATCAGTTCTTATTATTTTCCTGATTGTATCGTTTCTCTCATAAATGAGTTGATTCCACTTGTAAAACAATAATCACACAACATCTAAAATGATCTTGTCAATGTTGTTAATCACACCAAGCTGAAACCCTTGGCACATTAAAGTGTTTTCCAATTGTGATATCGACTCTTTAAATAGGTCAATTGAAGGAAAAACAACAGATCAAGGGAGTTCAGCAGCATTTCTTCTATAGCCAGACACATCCACCTGACAGAAGTTTGTTTGGACACAACACTAAGTGCGCAGTATTTTAGCAGATTGTCTCTATAGTAATGGCAATGCCTATTTTTGCTGGACAATCTGATGGAATGACTTTCATTTGCTTTTTCTTACGTTTCTAGATGGTGAGCAGATTAATGCAGCAGGAAAATTTGATTCATGGGTAAGCTGAGTAATGTAAATTAACTTAATGGAATTGAGGACTCTGTGACCATCTCTTTGATAGTGATTAGGCTCAAGTATCCACTCAACTAATGACTAAAGCAACAGTATAACAGCTGCTGCATCATGTCATGCTGTAGCTTGAAAGACACACTTTTTTTTTCAGTGAGTCTCTGCTTAATGTCCCGCTGCTACCAAACCTGTCAGTGATGCTTTCCGACCACACCCCCACCTCTCATCATGATGCTTAATCCAAGGACATGTCTGACTTCCGGGAAGGTAGTTAGCAATCATTGTCAGACAGCAACCTGAGACTTCTTGACATAACAATAAAATCTGTGTCTACTTTACTGTCGGTCTCAGTCTTTAAGACATAAAGAAGATAAGCCTGCTCATCCTTTAAGCACTTAACTGTTTGTGTACCTATCCATTATGTACCCTTAACATCTGAATCTGCAAGGTTAGCCCAGATGCTTGTTGCTTGAGAACAATGTAAAACCTATACGTAAACAACATCTAGAAAGCAATATTTAATACTTGTAAATGCAATGTATAAACTTTCCAGATGAACACTGTGACATACAAACGGTAAAAATTCTTCTTTCTCTGGTATTTCCACGACACGCACATTTGTTTTTAATTATTTACAGTATTATTTCTAAATTTGTCTATTATGCTGGAAACACATATTTGTAATGCATATTTCACACTAAAATCTGGAACACTACCATTTCTCTGACGCCATACTTTCACTGGTAGCTAGTACTACCAAAATAAACTGTCCCTGTTGGAGATATTCCTTTAATAGTAATGCTGGGTGCTGTAAAACTGTACAGCAGGACAGATTATACAGCTTTTCGGGTAAATTCTCCTTCAAGTGGGCTCATTGTAGGGATTAATATCAGCTTTGCACAGGAAGGCCTTCAGATATAACTTTATCTGGTGGAAACAGAGGCCCTTCCAGCAGGCGCTACAAATCAAAGCAGCTGTTCTTTATTTGAATAAACAAGATTAGACCACCTCCATAACATCTGAATTCATTAACATTTGCAAATGATCACTGCTACTTTTAATTACAAATAGCACTTTTAAGAAAATCAGTATTTAGCACAGGACAAAAAATAGTAAGTGGAAAAGTTCATATCTATTCATCACTATACAACACAGTTATCCCAGCATAAAATCTATCTAAATGAAACAAGACATACAAAACCACAACTAAAACATAACTTCCTCAATGTAATCAGTTTGTAAGATGATTTTGTAAAATTAACAAAATAGTGTGTGGTGCATTAAAACATCTTACTTTAAGTTAAAGGTATTTAACTAAAGGGGGGAAATAATTATGTGAATACTCCAGTTTAGACAAATGAAAAATGAGAGTTATGCAGTTATATGTTTTATGATATAACTCAGACCTTAAGCAAATCAAATTATTTTAATTGGCAAAATCTTAATATATACTGCATACGCAGCTTGGAAGAAATCCTGCAGAACATTACTGAAACTTTGGCAAAACATCTGCCATGCTTCACGGCAATCTGTGGATGGTTCTTGTGAAAGAAGTTCAACTGGAACGTTAGTGAATTAAAGAAATAGGCATTGTCCTTAGAAGCAGATGAACTATTTAAATAAGGGTGACGTATGCTGCTTCATGCAAGGTCCCCATCTAATCAAGGTCCAGCATAAGCTCATTGAGCAGTGTTCCATGCATTAATCAGGCTGCCAACAAGCTGATGTAAGACTGTAATAAAATACTGAAGGGACTACTGGCAGTCACACAAAAGCTGTAACTGACTGAAACTCATTACACCCATTCTATTTAATGAGTGAAATGGACCAGTAGCTGTGTGAGTTTCAATATGAGGCCATAGTACATAACTTTAAGTTTGCTTTCGGAAATGTATGACTCAAATATAGTATCCTGTGTAGCTAAGGAAGTAAAAGGAACATACCTGCAGGGGCTGAATGTATTGTGTACGTATGAAAGAATGTAATGTATTACATTTCAGAAAGCAACTTAGTATAAGTCTTCTTTATTGTTAAACATAAGAGAAGTTCTGAGTTAATACAACTAAGGCTGAGGTACAGAGATGCAGACTATTGTCAATATCAGAACAGAAAGAGCATTTAAATATTCTTTTCAGATTTCAAAGTGCTTCCTACATACATACATATATATGTTTATTATGAGTTAAGGGTATCTAAAAGGCGTAACTTAATTACATGAAATATTCATCTGATGTATTTTGAATGCTGCTTGTCAGTTTGGCTATCATCCAGGGAAGACAAACACAGGTATAACCGACATCTCTCTGATTAGAGAGAAACGGCAACATACATGGAAAGAGCCAAGAGCAGTGAGTGATTAAAGTCGTGAGAAAGGACGGTCAGAAGCCTGTGAAATAGGACGATACATTTTTAAAGAGTGAGTACATAGCCTGGCCCAGAATGTATTAGTGAGTAAACAAGTTAATAGAGAAAACCATTCATGGCACAGGAGGCCAAATATAGACAGGTACAAGGTACATTTGGTTCTGGAAGTGTTAACCAATCAACACTACGGATTTGACATCAGCGGAGTATTGATACACGCACAAAGGAAAAATTCATTTTTTCCATACCACGTCAACAACAATGAATCATGGATTCACTAGTTCAAATCACAACCTTTTATCAGGGTGTGCAGTGACATCAATCAAAGTGATACTCTTAGGTTTAGAGACCTCAGCAGTCACCTTCTGGGAAAGTTCCTTACTGACTATCTTACAGCCAAAACCGTCATGGAAACATGCTGAAAATATTTGTTTGAATCATCTTTCAGAATTTTCACTATGTTTAGAACTGCACCCTTTTCTTTCAAGACAATACTCAATGATATACTACATAGCTATTGAAGCAGCAAATTTAAAAGACGACACTGGCAGTGCTTCCTTGCCTGTACTTATTTTTTAAAAACCTCCTTTTTAAAACCAAAAAAAAAAGTTTATTCTCATTTTCAAATGTTTTTTATACACACAAAATTCAACCTGTCTTTATATGAGAAATACATGCTCGGCATTTAGTTTAAATTCTTATATCAGTTTTCATGTTTAGCATTCTACACTATATTTTTGTATCCCCAAGTATAATGACCAACATTAATTGTACATCTTGCTGCAACCCAGCTGGTCATTAAGGATTGCTGACTTATCCATTTCATTAAACGTTAACATCCAAACAAGCAACCATTTTATGCAGTGAGCACATTCAGCAGACAGGCTACGAGTCAGTCTGATCTGACCAACAGCCTGTGCTATACCATAAAGTTATGGTGTGCAATCAAACTATTCAATTTCACAAATCTCATGATTTGGCATCCCCCATTGGCTGTCATGATCACCTAGTGTTGCTGGGCTCTGAAGTAATATACTTTGAGTTGTGTGGTTGACTCAAACCCCTATTGAATGTTTGGATACTAGGATCCATTCAAATTACATTATTTATTTTTTTCATTATTTTTTCTTGCTATTACTATACATACTTAGCACTGCATGTATAGCCTTTTCTCACTGAATTCTGTCATAGAACCGTCTTTCTAACACATGTTTTGTTTTGCTTTAGAAGCCCATGTTACAGTTTGGAATACATTCAGAGGAATTTAATCAACCCGCTGGAAATCTTATTTCAGCCATGGGATCATAAGAGAATGTTTCTAGCTCTGGTAGAATGACAAGATTACAAGGATGTAATCTCAGAAAAAAGGCTTGGGTTGATAATACAAGGAATTATTTAAACTATAAAAACATGAGAGATGTCCTTTTCATGAACATCTTTATATTTTATTCTTGTAAGAAAAGTCACTTACAATACCAAATAATACTATTTCTGTTAACATCAACACTTTACAAATAACATGAAAGTACTTTATGTAAGAAAACCCTCAGGCTGTGCATATCTTAAAATCAAAAGAATAATTTTATCATTCCGTGAAACAATGTGTACTGTAAAGCATCTTGAGATGATGTGGCATAAAAGTTAGCCTATTTAACACAACATAATTATTATAACCCCACATTTTAAAAACATGGAACATAAACTTACCAATGATATTGACCCTTCCCTAAAGAACACTGAAATGATAATATAATCAATATACACAAAATATTTCATATGAACTACATTGTCCTTAGTCAGAACCATTTAGATATAGGTTGATTAAATATTGCTAACACTAATTAATAATTAATAAAAAAGAATGCTGAAAAGACAAATTACATTTGTCTGTTATTTGTCAAGTACAGTAAAAGTATCCTAAAGAAGTGTTTGAAACATTACATGGACACATATTTAGTGTTTTTAAAAACATTTCTGATGTAGCTGCACTGTACTTTCATCAATATACTTTAAAAATGTAGCTTTGTTTTGTCTTTGCTTTGCAATTCCTTCATGAAGGTTCCTACTGATCCTTACAGTTCTAAGGCAATAAAATAGGTCTTTTAATATGACCTTTAATTGTAGCTCACTGCAATATCCTCATTGAAGTCATTCTAAAATAGAATAATCAATATTTTGCTGCAGAACTATTAAAGTGCTTTCTGCTTAGCAAGGGATCTTCATGTTTTTAATCAAAGTCCTTCGACGGAAACCGACAATGTCACATTTTCAGCTTCTTACAGCCCATCTCACGCCCACTAGACCAGTTTGTTATTGCTGTCATACTTTGCGCCATACACAAAGGTTTGAAAAAGCAAATAATTAATTATACAAGTGCAGAGCTGAAAGGCAAAGAAATGTCTTACACATGGGTGAGTATCTAGGCCACAAATAACTTAGGAGTCTCACTTGATATATCATCTTTATAGACTGCACATACTGTAGTTCTCTCTAATCAACTTGCTATGCTTTGTTCCACCATCCTATGCCCCTCCCCTTGTCCCATCTTTTACTTTCAGCCCACATGATACCCGCGGACACTTAAAAAAAAAACTCTTAGGCAAAAGAACTCAAGCAGCAGAACCAATTAGCAGAGCCCCAAGGGGTGGCAGTGAGTGAAAAGGAGGCACTGTAACTACTGCCCACATAACAATGACACGTTCTTTCAATAGAAATTGTACATGCTAAAACAAAGGTTCAGCACAAGTATATCTCACTTGATCTGAAAAAATAAAACTGCGTCTGTGTTGCTTTGGGGTTTCTTTAAATATAGGCACCACACATTCAGTCATGAAGGTTGCTGTCCTATGTTTTTCCTAACCACCACTGTGCAATTGAATGATTACCTCAGTATGAAATAAAAACAGTGTATACTAACCGACTGGAGTGCTGTCTACTGGCTCAGCA